AGAGGCCTGTACTTATTATATTTTATAAATAGATTAACTAAATCAATTTGTGTAAATTTAACTATATTTTATTAAATGTAAAATAAAACTAAATGAAATGCACAAAATAAATTCTGATCACAAAATCAACTAAAAATGCTTTGTATTCTAAAATAAGTTACAAAAACACGGATTTAATCTCTTATAGTACTAGACGGACCTCTTGAAATCTCAAAACTGAAAAGGGACGGGAAAAACTTTAACATACTGAGGTGTTGCATTCTGACAATGATGTTAGTTACGACGTGCATAATTCGACTTTTACACACTAATAGACCAGGTCCATAATTATGAAACCCATATCTATAAAGTGCAAGAAGCATTTAATGTAACAATTGGGGAAACTACATTTTTAGGGTAATTCGACCCTGCTGAGTACGAATTTGCCTGTTGCCAAAGCGAAATTTGAAGTGGAAGTGCGGTATCCAAAATGGTGGCCAAACCCTGTTTATCCCATATCTATGTTGTTAGTTTGCCTAAAATACTGGTTTAAACATCTGCATAGGGGTTTCATCAGATGCCAAACATATTGCAACACTCAAAATTTATTTACATTACCTTTTGGAGGCATATGATCCAAGATGGCACACAATATGGCCACCAAAAACCTTGTTTCCGTATATCTCCCTTGTTTGTTTGAAATTATTATTTAAACGTCTACAAAAGTATTTTATCCGATGCCAAACGGATTGCAACACTCATTATTCACTTCCTACGATTTTGGAGGACATAGGTTCCAACATTGCCGCCAAAACTTCCGTCCTCGGAAGAGAACAAGGAATATGAGAAAAAGGCCAGTTCAGATATAAAATACTGTTAATTGCAATATTTCAAAGAAGATATGAACAAAATTTACAACCATATAAAAGATTCAAACATTGTCGAGAACGGTGGTACAGTTTGGTGCAAGTCAGTCCATTCTTCTTGCACGTGCATATTGTAGATAGACACTTGGATAAACAATTACAGGCTAGGATATATGCGGAGGCTTTTGGGACGGGCTCAATGCTCAAAAGGATGGGAAGTGCTGGTTTTGGTGAAGCCCCCAGCTATATGACTCGGAATCCATCATCACCGGTCGGTCAATATGAGAAGTTTCCAACACGTTCAAATGGAAAGTTTTTAAAATTGTCAGTACAAAAAAATCTATTGGTTTGTAAAACCATTGAGTACCGTATGCCCTCACTTACGATCGTGTCTTTACCTAATGACATCTTGGGAGTTGTAGTCGTCACAATACATAACTTGTTGGAGATAATAGTCGGATTCCAGTTTTTTCATACCACCAAAAATAAGTTTTGTTCCAAGCGCCCCAAAGTTATGATGGGGATTTTTTTTAGAGGGGTCTCAGGTCTCACTGCTAAAAGTTTGGGACAATTTTTTGCACTGAGGAAAACAAGTGTGGCCTTGCCCGCTTCGTCTTTCAAAATTAATAGGCCTTTATCAGGTATTGATTGTTCAAAAGATCAGTTAGACTACAACATTTGAATTAACTGCACTTGAAATTTTAGATAATTCAGGACCACATTGATGAAGATGATATTGAAGATGTACTCGCTTACAGACAGGAATTTAAAAAAAAAAATCATAAAAGACCATTTTTATTCCAAATCTAAACAAAAACAAACAACTATAAACTAAGAACTGAATTTTAACATGTGATTTCATGCATTAAGCAATATTAACTAGGAGTACGGTGCGCTCCGAAGTCACGTATGAGAATGAACGAAGACCATTTCATACATACCAATACGTTATTTAACAGTAGGCATTCATATCATTTTATCAGCTGCTCAAGCAGTTTTTAACTTCATTAAGGCACTAAGTTACACCAAATTCATAATATTTTTTTCATCGAAGCAGTTTCTTTACTGCACTTTGGGATTGGGCTTGCATCATTAAAGCAGCACCAGGAAAATGCTTAGCTTTTTTGAAAATAACTTAAACGGTAAGGAAATCAACCAAAGTGTAGATGATATTCTGAAAGAGAATAAAATTTCCAACAAATTTATACCAATATTCAAGAAAAGGCAGCCAAAAGGTGCCTTTAAAAAAGAAAATGTGAAGTTTTCAAAGTATTTCTTATGGAAAATATGTTTTTTTTAATTTTCAACTTAAATCTTAGATTTTCAGAACTGATGTTAATATAAGGAGATTGTGGTAATATATGGATAGGTCGATATTTTACAAGTTCTCTACCTACAGATTATGACACCGTTATTTACCTATACCCGCGTGAGGTGGACATATATTGTTAATAGTTTGACAAGAGATGGGACCATCTCTGTCTCTTTCTAAAAACATTTACAGCTTCTACTCAGCTCGTTGTGCTAACCCTACAATCTGTTAACCAACAGATGCGTTCTGTCTGTTTCTTATCTACACCTCTGATAATTTCCTCCAAACAATAACACTGGGTTCTACGTCAACTGTGCCCAAGGCTATGGTGTATAAAATAAGAGCATGATCGTTGTGCTTTCGAATTTTAAAAATGTCAGACTTTTTATAACTGAACTAAATTCAAAGAGAAAATAATAGAAAAAATAGGGTTTTAGATGTTATTACATCTATGTTCAAAATGTTGACTTCTGAGCTCTAGAACAAAAACCAAGTTCAAGTTTACACCCAGGAAACATCTTTAATCCAAGACTAAATTGTCTCAAATTAGGAAATGTATCGGTGTTAAAACACCATCCTCAGCTTTAGGTGTTAGTAACGTTGATCAGTTGTAAACATTGTAAAAAGATAAACACAGTGCGACATGAAAAAAACTACTGTACGATCAAGTACAAAAAGAAACTTTGACCAATTTTAATAAACAGGGCTGTTCTAACCAAAGTTGACCAGTCGCACAGGTAGATCGGTTAGTCCTTATAATTTCGCAGGTAGCATATTATCACAATTTTGTTTAAAACAAGGCAATCGTAAATACGTGCAGATAACCTAGCCTACAGTGCAGGGTTCGTAAATGAGAAATTGAGCAATATTTTGTGTGTGTACTCACTTGGATGATCAAAAACAATAGTCCTCAGATAGTCTGCAATTATTCAACTAACGGTCATTTTGTATGTGTCCTCAGTGCGTTGTACTATTTTTATGGTCCTCACAAAGTATGGTCCGTAACAAGAAAACTCAAATTCAACGAACAAAAATAAGGTTTTAAATGCAGTATAATATTGATATTTACAGCAAATTGTGATGCATTTTAATAAGAAAACATCAATATTTCGTGATGTCCTCAGAACGTACGGTTGCTGCTACGGTCCTCAGAAAGTTCTGTTTACAAACCCGTGTGTGTGTCTGTGTGTGTGTCTGTGTGTGTGTCTGTGTGTCTGGATGTGTACAGAGCTAGAGACTACACCTGTGGTCCGATTTAAATGAAATTTGGTATGTAGGTTCTTTTCCATGGTATCTCCAGGCGTTTTTTTCATTTTTTTGAAATTTTGATTTTTAATGGGGATTTTCCCATAAAAACCCATAAAAAACCGGAAAAATCTGATTTTCTCAAAAACGGCCCGAACGATTTTAATAAAAATTTAGTATGTTGTAGCCCTTTAAATTCTGAACAAAATGGTAGAAATCCCATTTCTGTAAAAATTACGGTTCAAAAGTTATGGTAAATTATGTTATTTTCCCATAAAACCCCATAAAATAACGAAAAAAGGATTGTAGACAAAAATCCGGTTTTAATTTAACATAGTATGTTATGGTCCTTACAATTTTGATAGTTTTTTTTCATTTTTTAGAAATTTTTATTTTTAATGGGGATTTTCCCATAAAACCACATAAAATAATGGAAAAATTGAATCTTCCCAAAAATGGCCCGAACAATTTTGATAAAAATTGAGTATGTTATAGTCTTTTATATTCTGAACAAAATGGTACAAATCCCATCTCTGTAAAAATTACGGTTCAAAAGTTATTGTAAATTATGTTACTTTCCCATAAAAACCCCAATAAATTACGGAAAATCAGATTTTCCCAAAATTGGCTCGAACGATACTGATGAAATTTAGTATGTTATATCCTTTAAATTCTGAAGAAATTTGTACATATCCCATTTCCGTATATTTACTCTCACCGCTTACACATGATAAAGGTTGTTGACAAACTTATGGGAGAAAGTATGTGTCAGAATGCTGATACCGTTTATTTTAAGTGATTTAGTTAGACACCGGTACTTGTTTTAACAACAAATCACCCTGAACTAAATTCTTAACATTTGAAGTTAAACTATCCAAGAAATGACTCTCCCCAAAAAACTATTAGCCGTAGAAACAACGTTAGCAAAAATTTTTTTATTGCTATCTAATACAATCCTGGTCACAGAACGCATGCTAATATAAAGCTAATAAAAATATCATGGCGCGCACAACGCGCATTGACTGTGTACTAAAATGCCAGAACATGATGTCTCAAGAGCAGACGAGGTGGTGGTGGGCTGTGCAATGTCCTGTATCCTGCATCTTGACAAGGACATAATAACATCACACCTTAGGTGGGCTGATCAAAAATACAGGCAAATAAAAAACAACAATACGTGTTGGGATATGATTCATTTGACCGTATCTGAAGGTGTATAGTCACCGTAGAGTATTACAATATCAATTAGAAAATTGTAACTTGCCATTCATATTGAGAAAATGATGTTAGAAAACATGTTTCTAGACAGATTGCTAGTCAGCGATCCACTATGTCATCAGTTGGTACAGTACTAAACTAATCTTGTAATTGGGCAATCGTCCCGTCTGAATCAGTAGCTATGATAAATAAACAATTAACATTTTAGACCTGATAAAGGAGTAAGATATATAGAAGTTTGTATATACGACATCGTTAGTCAATGTTTACTTCTAGTTTATTAGATAGTATTTTTTAAAACCTAAATGCTTAGCTTTTTTGTTTTTGCGTTACAAAAATCAAATCTGTAACATTGAAAAGTAGCGAACGTTTGTTTGCAGATGTGGCTACGATGAGTCCGCTGTACTTGGTCCTCCTACTGTTGATAGTGGTGGGACACTCATGGAAAACTAACCGAAGTGAGTATAAATACTACGAACAGCTGATAGAAAAATAAAACCATAATCTTTACAGAAACGAGGCCTCATTATCCGATTCAACAGCTGATATTGTACAGTACAAGCATCAACATGAGTTGTATCGTGACTCATCGTCCTTTGCGAGCTTTACCTTAGCCCGACTCTACAACACAAAGGTTTTAGATTTTTTATGTATTTAAAATAGTTTACCAGACCACTTGGGCAGATATCCACACAACAATATAATAGAGACGATTACACAAATAATTGAATCGTCAAGTATTTCTTTGATTAAAGTCAAACTACTAAGCTCGTCGCCTTCTTATTTTGTGAGGCAATTGTGGACGCATTAATGCACGCAACATGCCTATATTGGTCGCAAGGCTTTTATTTACACATTTTTCTGCAATCAATCGTAGTTCGTTCAACGATGGAATGCCTTTATATAATTTTTAGCTTATACTGTATAATTAAAATTTGATTGTAAAATTATTTTAAGCATACATTGATTTAACTTCTAGGTCTTGTGTGTCCTTATTTAGGAATATTGCTGTCACAATTTTTATTTTTAGTAATTTTAATGAAAATATAGTTTATTAATATTATTATCAGGGATGAAGAACAATATGCCACAACAATAAGTTTCAACAAACATCTATAGACATACAGACATGTCAAGTGTACATGTAACACGATTGCAGCCTAAACCATTTGCAAATTTGAGCCAGAGGATAAAAGCTCCCCATATCTATCTTGACATTTGTTTACAGAGCCCCGTGTGTACGGAGACAAGCTGCCTCGGCGAGTGCTGACTCCTTCCAGCAGACAGGTTCAGAGGAAGATTGTCGTCTACCACAACTTCTTCCGCACTCACGTCCACCCAGCCGCTGCGGACATGCTGTCCATGGTAATGTAGGTTAGATATACCGCACTGACCACACAACAATCGGCATTAGGGATAATCTATATGATCTCTGTAATATGATGTAATTTGACTTGTTATTTGAATTCGAGATTTGAATTACAGTGGAGGTCTTCATCAAATTCAAAGCGACTGGAGACAGTATACAGGGTGATTGATATAAGTGTGCCAGCCGTTTTATTCGAAAACTATAAGAGATATCAAAACAAGTTAAATGGTAAGTGCCTTGGATTTTTTATTAAAAAAATTATAGTCAAGTCAAAAAAATTATTTTAGCCGCCATTTTTCCAATATGGCCGCCAACTTTGATTTTTCTTACGGAATACCCTGTATTTTATGATGTATTCTGGTAGAAAAAGTAATTTTAAGACGATTTTATTCTTGTGATTTTTTTCATAAACCTAACCGTTTTAAAGATAATAATGGTTAAAGTTTTGAAATTTCTGCATGAGAAAGAGTTTCGAAGCAAGCATGCCAGCTGTTTTGCTCGAAAACCATTCAAAATTTCACAACTTAAACCATTATTATCTTTGAAACGGTTAGGTTTATGAAAAAAATCACAAGAATAAAATTGTCTTAAAATTACCTTTTCTACCAGAATACATCATAAAATACAGGGTGTTCCATAAGAAAAATCAAAGTTGGCGGCCATATTGGAAAAATGGCGGCTAAAATAATTTTTTTGACTAGACTATAATTTTTTTAATAAAAAATCCAAGGCACTTACCATTTAACTTTTTTTGATATCTCTTATAGTTTTCGAATAAAACGGCTGGCACACTTATATCAATCACCCTGTATAGAGAGATATAGAGAGAGTGTTTAATTGTCTCTCGTTCAAACATGCTAACCATAGGTATGATCCGAATGGAGAAAATTATTTATAAAGAACAAAATTAGGTTTGATATGGTACGTGTTTATGATCTCTAATATTGCGTGTTTCACAAAAAATAAGTAAACAAAGAAAACCTCCATTCTACTTTTGCCTGTGACTATTTAACCTAGAACTTTAATGCTCATTAAATCGTAGTCAAAATTATGTATTGATTATCAATTCTAAAAAAAATCATTGATTGTTCATTTATCAAAAGTGGCCATTTCTATTAAGCCCATAAACAATAGCCCCAGTGCTTCTGGAAAGGTTATTTTCCCGGGAGAAAGCTCTTCAATGCTGTAGGCCCCTACCCATCATTGAAAACTCCTTCACTCCCCAAAATAAAGCTTATGCTTGGAAGGAGGAGATTCTCTTTTGTGACCCAAAGCTGTATAATGAACAGCTTCTTAAGACATGTGCAAAAAGTTAATAGTTAAATAAAAAGTATATTACAAAATAATCTGCATATCCTTTTTTATCCACAGACATGGCACAAGGGGGCGGCTTTATCGGCTCAACGCTGGGCAGACCAATGTCAGCTGTTGACCCATGATAACCTTAGTGGTCGATGGATAGACTCTTACGGTTCTTGTGGCCAGAACATATTCATCAGCACTCATCAAGTCCCTTGGTGAGGAACGAACCACTCACACGAAACTCGCAGAAATGAACATTTGGCCAAATATAGAAATATATTGAGGATGAGTTATCAACAATAAGTCCAGACAGAACAATACGCAATAAGCTTTGGATGTCGAAATAATCTTGAGCTTTGAGAATAGCTCTGTTGACACCTATTGAGCTTAACCTCAAAATGGACTTGCGCATCTTAAAATCTTTACAAAGGACTGCCCTTCTGAAAATCTTGAAAACTCTTTGACTTACATTTGAACTAAAAGTAACAAACAAAATCAAGCTGTTGATTAATTGCAGTACCAACTTTTTTAATGCAAAATCTAGTTAAGTTCTGAGACTGTGTGTTTCAAAGTTTAGAATACTATACATTTTGAAACACCACAGATTCCGAGCAAAATACAATCGGATAACTTGTATGAATACGTGTCTCAATTAAGAATATATTTTTTACAACGATTTATTTACGAAATCTGTATAATCTGTTCTTTTGCTAGGTTCTTCGCCATCAAAACCTGGTTCCTGGAGCGTCACAACTTCACGTACGACGGAGACAATTCCCTGATAGAGGTCGGCCACTACACACAGCTGGTCTGGGCTTCAACACACAAAGTTGGCTGCGGGTTTGCTGAATGTCAAAGAAACTCTGGCAAGAAGTACTTCAGCTACGTCTGCAACTACTGCCCCATGTGAGACATTGTTGAAACTAATTGGTTCAAAAGATTTGGAATGTACAGAGTTTTCTAGCAAAGAGTTCTAGTAGAGGAAAGATCTGCTATTGATTTCAGATGAGGTTTTGAGACTTCATGAATCATAATTCTATTAAGTTGAAAATACAGTAGGGAAATAAAATGCACATTTATGTGCAACGACGTTTTTACTCCCGACAATCTGACATTTATAGGAACAGGAGGGAGGGGGAGGGAGGATTAACGAAAACATTAGATTACTGTGAATAATACTAAAAATAAACACTGAGTGAAGAAATGTCTTGTGATGACATTAGTATATTTTGTTATTAGTGAAAGATTAATGGGTCCAACTGTGTTTATGGTTTAGTATTTGACGATGTAACATATACTAGTAATTTTAGGAGAACATAAATGCCAGTCGAGTTTAAGGGAGTAATAGTACTCGAATTGGTTTCTTTTTGTTAAGTTCCCTATTGAAAATTATGTGTATAACTTTTAATTCATCTTTGGCATTTGTTACAACATTGTATCAACTTCTCTCTGTTGCAGAGGTAACTACTTGGAGAAGCTGAGTCGTCCCTACAAGAAAGGCAAGGCTTGCTCAGGCTGTCCAGGCCATTGTAAGCTAGGCAAGCTCTGCACCAACTCTTGTCCTGCGGCGGACCTGTGGGCAAACTGTGGAGAACTGTATAACACCTGGCCTCAGGTAGGGGCTGGGGAGTCTAGTAACTACCCTCTGGAGTCACTAAATGATAACTTAGTGGTGTTGTCATTTGTCTGGTTAAGTTATCACAATGAGAGTTAGGGTGTGTTGCGTCGTAGTTAGCATCTCGCTATGTCTACAAACATTTAAGGAACTAGGATCGTTTTTGCTTGGAAAAGAGTTTGTGATTCTTTCACACAAAATGCCACTGGCGCTGATCCTATCGAAATAAACAGACATTGTATATTAAGCTAGGATCAAAGGGAACAACTACAATGGGAGACGAGGAAGATTGGAATAACCATCCCTTTTCTGTGTGAAGAACACGCAATACATAAAAAAAAATTCGTCATAATCATCTTTAAAAGATGGTTATATTGGACGAAAAATTCACATACCCGACTTAAATTTATTGGCTGAAATGAGTTATGCAATACTAAGTAGGTATAAAATAGCTCGTTTCGTATCTATTTATTATATCTTACAATAGCATTTCTAACTAGATTTAATTGAAACTACTATGACGTTAGAGACAGGTTATTATTTTGTATTACTTTGTCTTGTTTTCCACGTATCACCAAAGAGTGCCTACGGACCCACCTAGAGTATTTTGTTGAATTACCTGATTGTGATATCTGTCCCATCGTATTACTTGTATTAAATTTTTTATGTTCTAATACACATCAAATTCATTTCAAGCCCAGGTCTTCACGCTTTGTTATAAAAAACCCTAAGCTGATTCGTTAGTAAAGATCAAATTAAATGAAATAGTTGGTTACGTGAGTACAGTACTGGAAGATTCTTACAGACTATACTATTTATATAAGTTAAAAAAATACTAACAAGATTGATGGTGTTTATTTATTTCCAGTGGCTATGTCGAACCGACCACACACGGCAAGGAAGGGAAAGAAGGGATAACTGCAAGGCAACATGTACTTGTGAAGGCAAGATCAAGTGAGAAGACGAGAGAAAACTTGACTTGAAGAAATTATAGACTGTCAGTTAAAAAATTATAAACCTATTTTGTAATAACAGAACTTTTCAAATTATTCAATACGAAATAATTATATACGTTGAGGGCCTTATAATCTGCTGTGAGATTAGTAAATCGGCAATTGATATATTCATAGATGCAACGGTATATAACATCAGCGAAGCAAAACTATTTAGACGTTTTGGTTCTTACTATGGAATAGAGCATTGTATAATTTTAGTTTATCAATTTTACAGCATGTTATACTTAAAAGTTATTACTGTAAAGATTCAATAAAAATATTAACAGAATTCAAGTTTACTAAGGGGTTTCATGAAAAACCCCACTAAGTCAAATTAAATTTAAACCGAAACGAATGGCATCATTCTTGATAAAAAATTCAAGTAATAGATCATTCAGACAAGATTGAAGTGGTATTTTGTGAGTTTCTTAGTTAATGTAGCCTACTTTGTATCCAGAGCCATAGATAGTCTACGATTTGTAAAACACATTACATATCTTGTTATGATGTTGTTAATGCTAGAATGTTTATTCATGGTGGTTTTGTTATGTTAAACAGATAGGTTAAACATATACTATGAGGTACAGATTTGATTTTAAACCTCGTATTGCTTCACTGCCATAACTTATGAAGTAAGGACATTTCTTCTTTTATTTGCTATTCATCAGTTTGCAACGTAAGTTTCCTTGGATAGTATTTTTAAATTTAACATTAAAAGGACTTTCTGTGCATTCAATGTAACGTTCCAAGTATTTTATACATATTTTGTAATAAATAAACTGATAAACAGTTGTATTTTTAAATTTAAAGCCTAAATCCTTAATACCCATTAACCTCAGGGGCCAAGCGTTAAAAAAATAAAGTTTTTACTGGGAGAAAGATTGTGGATATAATAAGTCTGGTTTTCTACGATCCTGCATTGGAAAATGAAAATAGACAGGTTTTGACGTCTGACTTTATCGTCGGTGTTTTTGTGAACTTTGTAGATATTTAAAGATCCGCCATTGGATAGTGTATACTAAAGTAGATATCTTATCTATATGGACCAGATGTAGCCAATTTTATTCAAAAAGAACATAGTTGTATGAGCCACTCGCAAATTTTGTGCCGTCAAAATTGAAGTTTATCCTTCATATTTGGTACTACAGTACAATATTATATGTGACATAAAACATTCTATTTACAGCACGTTATGCATTCAGTTAGGTGTGCTTAACTTACAAAATTAACCATGTCTGTTATTATTTAAATATAACTGACAAAAACTTCCAAACCAGATTGTGGCGAGCTGCAATGTCACGGTATCGATGGATCGACTCAAAATGGCATACTTTTGGACCGAATACAAGGACGATGGATGTGCATCAGAAAGGACAGGAAGCAATGAGTCTAGCATGGATGATTCTACAGATCTGTAGAAACCATCCTTGAGTAGTTAAAGTGAATTAAATCCTACGATTCGAGAAAAATGTACGCTTTCCCATACGATTTCAAGTGTAATGCTTTAGTAGGGGAGGTACTGTGGTGAGTGCATCAAAAGACTGAACCAGCTGGACAATGGTTTGTTTTGAATAGAATAGTATGAATTTATTTTTTTTTTATCCTTCAACGTTTCAATAATTACCTAATGTACATTCCTGGCTTTACACATCTCTATAAAATTCTTTTTTCTGTTAACTTCTTTAATAATTGAATACAAAAAGTAACAAACATAGTCAAAGAAGAGCTTACTTCTTCACAGATGTTACAGTTATAAGAATAAGATTTGAGCCAGTGACGTCATTTGTTTATGTTTATGATCCGTACCATTTGTTATTCTATTATCCGTGCTTCAACCTGATCTGATTTGATCGTGACGTTTTAGAGGGTGCTGAGTATACTGAGGCTATGCTAGTACTTTATCCTTCCACCTGTTCTTCCCCTGATCTCCCTATTGGAGTGTCGTCTGTTACAATGGCCGCGGCTCGCGCCAAGGCTAATCATCTGGTGTGTATCCGGTGGGCCTCGTGGGAATGTGTTTATGCCGCCACATTTCCTGCGACTCGCCGGAGCGGCACGACCGGCTGCAGGACCGACTGCAGTAGTGACCGATGCTTGGGTGAGCCGATGAGCCGCTGAGCCGCGTGGTGCTAGAGTAGGGTGAAGGGTGAGGAAAGTGAAACTGCAGACGATACAAGTTAAAGTTGTGTAGTTTAAAGTTACAGTGTTTTGTGTCAGTGTTTGGGAAGGCGTTAGTACGTAGGCCTAGTGTGTTTCAATAGTGTCAAAACCTCTTCAATTGTGCTGTAATGTTGAATATGAGACGAAAATAGGAGTTTTATCAAGTTTCGAGTTGCTAGGAATCACGTAGCTATTATGACCGGTAAAATTGGTATGCAAGCAAACCAAATACAAGATCACTAGATAAAATCTTTCGGAGTTGTGATAGAATCGGGGGGTCACCGGGTTCACTTGCAACATTGGCGAAAAAGTTCAGAAAGATTCTAAAATGGACCCAGCGACTGAGGGCTTGGCGTAGTCCCGGCTACACCATGGGACGAGGTATCACCGTAGGAGAGACCAGCGGCTGGGTGAGGATATTCAGTGAGGAGGATGAGGGAAGTACACTGGTGTACCTGACCCTCAGTACAGGAGTAAAGGACATCTGTCGAGACCTGGTGTTGGCAGACCATCTCTCCATCTGGATACAGGTAGCTCGGGAGGGATTGCAATATTAAGTAAATAGTGATAGTTCTAGGCTGCGAATAGGTCAAAGGTGGATATAAAGAATATGTGTCAATACCTAATAGGGCTCACCTAGTAATTAGGCTGTTCAGTCCCGTAACGTTTAGCACGGATATTAGAACAGATAATGTATCATAAACATTAGCAAAATGACGTCACTGGGCGGAATTTAAACAAGTTTTTATTTAGATACAAAGGAAACTAACAAAAATCATTTGACAGTCAAAATTTAAACAGTAGGTACCAAACGTTATGATTATTAATTGATTTGCGATGTGTTTTGTTTATGTTTTTGGTCCATTCAGTTATCTGTTGTAATTTCCGTGCCTTTGATTGAATCGGAATTGGACCACGATATCTTTGATCATTGGGCTTTAATACGTGGTTCTTGGCTAAAGAACTATCTTATCTTAGCCATTGACGAATTTATCATCTCAACAATTCAACAATTTTCATCATCCATTTTCATTTTTTAAATTGGGCATTTAATCTTGTCTAAAGAAACACCTATAACCTTTGCCAGCCAGTAACAAAACTACAGAAATCATCACTCTACACTACCATTGACTATACGACCTTAGTCAACTTATCCTCAGTTTAAAATACGCACCTCAGAGTGCTTTGCTGTCCCAACGGTTTAGTTGAATACACACCCTAACAAAAGTCAGCAATACAGTGTCATAAAATCTAATCTAATCTATTAAATTGCTTTAGGCTAACAAGTTTTGGTATTTTCAGGCTTGGTGAAAAATACTTTGCATACAAAAACTTTGTTTAACCAAATGTTGGTTTGGTTAAAATTCATAGCAGCACTCGTGGCATTGTTTATTGTCTAGAGTGCATTGGCTTCAGTTGGACATTTTCCAGCAGTAGGAACCAACGAGTACATCACATACTGATGCAGCAACACTTAAATTTTGAGGTCGAGGGAAATAGTTGTTTAAAATTTAGATATGAAGTGTTACAGAAGATGGTGGTTTTAAGAGGGAAACTGGTCAACTGGGTCAACATTGGTTTTGACTAGTAATGGATTTTGTAAATTTTAAGTCAATGTTAGGCCTATACCAAACAAAAAATAATAAAGATAGCACTATTTACGTAGAGAATAAGGATGCCTACACTTGGCGGTTTTATGTTTAAGTAGTACTACAATAGTAGAATACAACTTGTAAAGGTGTATTCAACAGCGGTTATGCCTTTACGATTAAAATTGTTTTAAGTTTAAGAAGTAAATTACATAGTTAAGTGAAATACATAGTCAAAATCAGCACACTAATGTGTCATCATCAGCAACTACAGTTGAAACTTGCACAGCCGGTGTTTGGCCGTAACGATGAGAAGTCCCGTGGGCACGTAAAACTTTTCATCACACTCGTCCATAGTTGGACAATTCTATCCTTTAAAAACAAAAATGCATAACTTACTGTCACGACTGCTCTAACTATAGTTTGCGATCCTTCTGCAGGCCACCTTATCTACCTTACTTAAAATGCGAAGTTCACGATAGGATATTAGAAATCTCCCTTGCCACCCTTAAAGATTTGGATTACTGTCAGGTTCGTATCCAGTTTTGAAACCTTCTAGGAATATGATTACTGTGTGATTATACAATCAGTAACTCATGACTCACTACACCACCTCCACCTCTATTTCCTCCCCCCTGTCTGTTTCCTGTGTCATGGTTGAGATACCACATACACACACCTGCCGTACCATCATCAATCCTCATTATCATCCTTGGTATCTAACAAAGGAAGCGACCATACTGGCGTTTTGTTTGTTTAAACGCTCGTACATTTGTACCTTGGAGTTTTAATCATGTGGTTAAAAGGTTGAACAATTTTAAAACCGTTAGTGTGGTATGTTTCAGATTGATGAGGATGATTTGACTCATTAAAATACAATTCTGGGATAAATGTTCAATTATTGAAATACGTCACCTGGGTGCGTATTTTAACCAAAATACGAGTGAAGGAAGAGTGTTTTGAGATTATCTGTGTAGATTTGTAAATTATTACTGACTATGATTAGCTGGTTCATTAGCCAAGATCATTGATTGAAAGCCGGTGATCAGGAACGGTTGTGTCTAGAATAAAACCATAAAACAGTTACACACTTGTCTCAGGATCAAACCGGTGACCATATGATTACCAGGCGAGCACTTAACCACTGAGCTACCATCAGGAAATCGTCCTCTGCAAGCAATGAATATTTTGCTCCAGAGTCAATTGCCGTTGACAAATGCCTGGACATTGCCGTTGGGTTTAATATGAACTAGGGTGGTCTGGGTTGGCTTAGATTTGGAATAGGCCAGAGACTTTATACTGTAATTCAAAATTTCCGAGTAAATATTATTTACACCAAAGTTTATGGCTGAGATGGTTTGGTTTGAATTTAAATTATGATCATTATTTGAACAATGGGAGTTTTACGTTTGAAGAAGGCATTATGCCTTAGCTGCATGTCCTTCCTTTTTAGACGTATTTAGAGATTTTTGTATATAACAACTTGAGATTTACTAACTTTGTGATTACTTTTTGCCACATCTGATACAAAGATTCTCGAGTCCTAGAAGTTCGAAGACGTGTGTACAGATTCAAGAATGGTTTGAAGGTCTCACCGAATATTCAAATTCACCAATTTACTTTGAACGATATAAAGTGTCTGTTTTGTTTTTAAGACTCCCCTGGGCCACAAACCCACGTATGCTTCTTCTTAAAATATCATTACAATAAACTTGTTCTTGGGATGAGCAAGAAAACGCGTTCCTTACAATTACCGGATGCATTACTGTCTTCTAGTCGTCACTCAAGTACCGAGTGGGTTGTATAGCTCTGTAAACTTGAAGAGGTCCATATGTTATGTACGTACTGCACTTTATCTCAAACTCAAACCAAACTGACATTTATGACCTTATAGAGCATCAGATGAATTTTCTACTCTCACCTAATCCGAGGAATTCTAGTTGCTCATGAGTTATCTCTGGGGTGAGAAATTGGGTCCGGATCTCGTCTAGATAAGTCCTTTGGAAAGTCTCCCATCTTCATTGCTTGACTTAT